ATGTCCGCCCACATTGGAGGTGCATTCCGCCTGTGTTGGGCGATAAATTTGTCCGCCTTTGAAGTGCTGCAGTGCATGTGTGATCAAGACCGCTGAAATTAAAAGATCTTGAATTTGTCTAATTACATCACGTTTCTTTCAATTCTATCAATGCGAATTTCTTTCACTTTTTCGTAGCATTAGAAATGTACTGTTGATGTTGCACTGTAGCCATAAAAAGCTTAAAAGTCAGTACTATGCACTTAATTTACAAGTGACCGCCAGCAGTAAGCTGGCCACTGGACAGTGTTCATAGAAACTTTAGCGCGCATGTTTTTCACATATAGAGTTTATATAATACTAACAGAAGCACAGTAGAAATAGTTGTAGATGTGTTTATGCTGCCTGCATGTTGTACAATTGATGCATCAGTACATGCGATGTTTTTGTATATCATCTGTATTGAAGGCAGCTAATCCCGAAAACGCTTTATCCTTAAGTTTTTGCGTTGGTTAAAGTAAAGATTTTCCAGCTGGATAGCCACAGTAGTACTCCATGAATTAAAACTAATCAAATCTTTGAAAATTAATCTTTGAAAATTAGTTATACTAAAGATTATGAATGAGTAAGGGAAAAGTTGAAAATCTTCTTGCCTCAGGTTCCACGAGTGATTTTTTTTAATGGTACTCATGCTGTAACTGGAGCATTCATAGTAAAAGTCAAGATCTAAGCGCACAAGCGTTAAACAACGACTGCGGTTAATCACTGTACTCACCACTCGATAAAATCGTTTATTTTCGAGACAAGAGTGACCTAGGTTTCGAAAAGCGAAGTGAAAAATCTCGAAAGAGTAAAATTTCTTAGTTGTTTTAGCCTTCCGTTTTTCACTCCCTCCCTTTTTCTGCCCACTTTTCCTTCCCCTCTATCGTTTCTTTTTTTCTACGATAACTGTGACTAAATTCACGAAAACAAACTTCCCACAAATGGGCCACGGCTTGCCAGATAATTTTGAATGGATTGGAAACCGGCTGGAATGCTGACTGACGAGCTGATAGTACCGCGACCGTGCTGAAGGCGACACTGCCCTTTGACGCCAGTGTATGGAGCATACTCGGTTTCGAGTGGTACACCTCTTTGGATCATCAAGCTGGAATCGCTTTTATATGTTTAGGTACAAATATTCTCGATACCATTTTCTTTTGTTTGATTCTAAACAATTCAACTTCACGATAATGGCTGATTTGCCCCTTTCGCAATTTCTTTTAAATTTAGGCTGAAACCGTCTTGCTAACAACGTTCAATTGCGGTGTTGAGCTAAGACGTATATGGTTTGTGGAGCGAAGCTTTTTACCACTTTATTTTGCACAGCCCTCTTATTCCTTCTTTCTTTTCTTACTCTATCGTCCTTTGGGGGGCCGAACAACGGCTCCACATAAGGTGACTTGCTCTTTGATAAACTGGGGGTTATTGGATGTTTAGAATACCCCTATCCGTTAAGCTTCCATAACAGGTACCACAAGTGATTTGACGGGCTCGACGCAGTGAAAAATAATTCTGTTGCCTTGTAGTAGACCGAGGATTCGAGTTTTCTACAGCATTGTTTATTTCGATGGTCAATTGGTAATTGTATATTGCTAGCTAGTCATGCTTGTCATACCCTGTTTCTAAGCAATCTTTGAAAACAGAGCCATCGATGATTGCTGTTCTACTGCTACCATTTGGCTAATTCCCGAATGAATCCATCTTCCATAGAGACCGTGCAGGAGTGGTTTTCGGTTCCCGGCTTTTGGCAAGCCCAAAAGCAAAAACAGTTTGAACGCCGCCATCAGGAGTTTTCAGAACAACGATTTTATGGCTTTTAATATGTTATAGTAAGTTTGCGCATTTCGACATAATTACCAAGATCGCCAGAGCAGTTCCGAGAAATATCCCCAAAATCGGATGAAGTCGGGCTTAGTGGTGGTACTTACTCGAACGCCGAATTGGGGAAACCTCCACTGCAGCCTAAGCTTTTCGTATCGCAATCGAGCAGTGCTTGTTCGGAGTAATCATAATCTCGGCCCGAGTTCCGCTTGTACAAGTACTCCAAGTTGGCTACTGTTGAGAATGCCCAACAAGATCCACACTGCCCTCAAAATAGAAAAATCCATCGTTACCAACTTTTCATTACATGCCAAAACATCACGATAAATAAAGCGCTAAAAGCCGGAAGGGAAGAAATAGTAAGGAAAATAAGGCGCTAAGAGAGTTAAAAAAAAGAAGAGTTTTTTATCCTTTTATAGTCGCTCCACTATCCGTCTTTTGTCCCTTATCCATTCTTTTCCGGCAAAACTTGTTCCTGTTTCGAAACTGTA